TACTTTACTTTATATATATATATATATATATATATATATATATCGGGTGCAGTTTGCATACAAATGCATCCGTAGTTGTAAGGTGCACCTTCAAATGTTATCATGGTATATAATTTTGTTGTAAAATGTTCTTAAGATTATCTCAAAATCTATTTTTATATCTAATTATAAAATTTTAAATTAAAAAAATGGTTAAAATCAAGTAGATCTATAAACGTAAGAAAATCTTGAAAATTGACGGTGTAGATAATATGTTGCAAAATATACAATTTTTTAAGACGTAAAATCTTTTTATTTTTTATGGTCATACATCTTAATGTCAAGATGATCAATCGAAGGGTTTTTCAACATTAAAACTACCTTTTCTGATGGATTTTTGAGGTGCATCTGTAGTTCTACACTATAAGGTTGCATCTTTATATAAACTTTTTCCATATATATATATATAAGATATGATCCTATAATACCCTCCCCACCCATGTGTGTAGCACCCCAAATGATCACCATTATATGTGCTACAGATCTATAGAAAAGTCGAGTCCCACACCCATGTGATAACTTTTTTAGAGATCCGTGTCAACTTTAATGGTGATCCTTTGGGATCCTACACACATGGGTGGGGAGGGTCCTATATATATATAGAAAAAAAAAAAAGCTAAGATTAACCCACTAGCTCCTATGAACATATGAGTCCAACGGCCCAAATTGAATCTAGGCTGATTTGACGATCATGGATGTTCGATAGTGTTTGAATTTTAATGTTTTGTCTACAAATTCACATCACTTGAAATTTTAGGAGTGTGTTCATAAAAAATAGTTGAATCTTTGAAAAATATGAAAAATAATATTTTACATGAAATAAATTGACCAAAATACCTCCAAAAAGTTTTGGGAGTATTTTGGTCTATTTTACTTTTCTACAAATAATTTGTTTTATTATTTTTATTAGGTGCGCCTTAATGAGAAGAACACACGACCTAAAATTTCAAGTGATTTGGTATTT